TTTGTTATTTGTTATATATTGTAGGTCTATTAGGTCTGTTGGAGTGTGCTACACACTTCCTGCTGTTGTATCTTATAATTATTTAATTATGTTCTATGGTTTTTTCGATTTTTACTTTTTTGTTTACTTAATTTTAGTGATGTATGGGAAAGAGTTTTATAATATTAATATTTATAATTTAATTAAGAATATAAATAATCTTTTAAGTAACTTTAAACTAAATATAATCTATAGCTTTATTCCTATAAATATAAAATTAGCAATTATCTAAAGTTTTAAAAATAATTAAATTTTCTATATTAAACACTTCTTATATCTGATAACTAATTTTTTCTACTATAAAACAATATATATTATTACAGTATTGTGATCTTCTTAATAGCAATACTATAATAATAACATGGCTACAGAGATCTTTTATAGGTTTATAGCAGTATCCAAGAGATAAGTATAATTTTTACTTCAATTAGAAACTACTGTATATTCTTTTCTCTATAACAATTTGGCATACAATAGTTTATAAATAGAATATATGATTATTGTAATAAATTTTTTTTTTATAAAGTATTCTTTGGAACTAAGCTTTATTAATGTTTTTGTTATTGACTCTATAGGTCTACATTTTAGTATTACAATAAGAGTACAACTAGTTACATATGCAACTTTTGATTGCATATTTAAGTAGTCTATATATAGATACACTATAGGTTTTATACTAGATGCTATATTTATAATCCAACTAGGAGGTTATTTATTTAAACCCTCTAATCGTACATATCTACCAATTAATTTTAAGCTGAGTACCTTTATACTAAAGTGTCTCTACTAACTTACTTGAACTTAGTTACCTAATTAGTTATCTATAAGTTTCTACAGGTAGGCATAGTAGCTGCTTCCTAATTCTTCTATATCTCATACATTTCTAAATTAGTTTCAAAAAACTTGTCTACTATGACTAAAACAAATACTAGCAGTTAAGGCTAACTATTAAACTATATAATTTCTGATTTCTCTGTTCTTACAAAGTTCATTTTAATTCTTATGCCTACAACTACCTTCTTTCTGGTCCTTATACCAATCCCTCTCAAACTTCCAATCCAGTTAGCTCGGTTAGGTTGATATACTTAGGTTTTAAGTGCTATAGTTTTTCTTTCTTTAGTTTCTAATTTTGTAGCAAAGAACCTTTTCTTCAATACGACTTTGGTGGCCAGGTTGGTGAACTCCTTTTGCTCCAAATAGTGTTGGAGGCACAAAAAAATTTTTAGGCATACCCCATAGGCATACTTCTAGCTTTTTTGATTTAAAGGCATATACTATTGGCATGCTCTATAGACATGCTCCCAAAATTTTTTATGTATTAACTTTGGATGTTCTATAGAATAGGTAGGCAATATAAGAAATAAGCTTCGCTAATGATTAGTAATCATTAATTTTTTAATATCAGAGTTGCGGAGTTGGTGGAGTTTGCCCACCTATTCTATAGAACATCCTCAACTTTTATATATATAAATTTTTTGAAAAAAGGCATGCCTAGAAGCATGCCCAAAAGACATGCCTGAAAGGCATGTCTTGTACCCATGTCCTCAACTCTAGCTTCAGAATTGTTCGTCTAATTCTCAGTCTCTGGTTTCTGATCTTCTAGTTTTTACAGTATTATTAAAAAGCTTTACTATCTCTTTGCTCAAGACTTGCCAAATAGGTTTCAATTATTTCAGTTTCTTAGCTTTGTCTGTATAATATTACACAACTTTGACAAAAGCTCTCATTCAAAATAGTGGTGCCAAGGCTACAGGTGATATACCCAACCAATTATCAAATAAATATTATCAAAACAAATCTTAATTTTCAAAATAATCACCAGTGAGATTTAACCTCTAGACCTATCATTTGGGAGGTGACAACTTACCAACTTACCAACTATACTATATCACCACCCTTTTATTATTGTAATAAATAAGATAGACTATTCTTAGATTTTTATTTCTAAAAAATTCTATAATATTATAAAAAAAAAATTTAAGAGAAGTTGAAGTCTGTATCTATTTAGATAATAAACAGATCTAATATTAATTTTGAAAATTTTATAGCCTTTTTATATCTTTAATATATTAAGCACTAAGCATTAATTGCTAATTATAATTGCTAAACACTAATTGCTAAGTATAATTATTAATTGTTAATTACTAAGAATAATTGTTAATTATTAAAGGAAGTATCATTTATCATCTGATTATTTTAGAATGGAGTTTTCTAACAAAGTATCATATATATTAGTATATGATTAATCAGTTTTATTATTGTTAGAAATAAATGTAGTGAAAATGATTGGGACCCATAAATTTTATCATGTAAAGAAGGTAAGAATATTTACTATTTACAAAAAATTAGGTGATAAATGACACTTTCCTAAGTATAATTACTAATCATTATTCACTAAGTATTAAGCATTAAGATTAATCATTATATATGTTTTTTAAATTCTATTTAAAAATAAATATAATATAATAATAACTAATAAATAATAAAATATAATGTCAAAATAATAAATAATAATAATAAGATAAAATAGTAAACTAATAAAATAAAATAAAACTGTTTTATAATATTTTTATCCTCTTATAAAAATTTGCTTTGCAAATTCTTAATTAAAAACTGATACTTTTTATCAATAAATTTAACAATATAAGTGACTATAAAGTATTAAATTTAATACAAAACTTCTTGGGTTAAATACTAAAAATTTGTTGAATATAAGTAGCTTGTTTCTAAATGTCTTAGATTTTTTAAAAGCCTTGAAAAGTCTAAAGAAGTTCATGAATTTGTTGCTATTTATTAGTCTGTTTCTAAATAATAATTTCTAAGTACAGATAAGCTTGGATAATTTTTATCTACTTAGATCAAGTATGTTCTTTATCTTCTAATTAATATAATATCTTAGTTAATTAGTTTTTTTATATTTTATTAATAAGAGTTTAAATAAGTATTTGATTTAGTAATTAAGATTTAGATTAGTTCATCTTGAACTTTTTGGTAGACTTCAATGTTTAGTTTAGTTTTTAGTTCAGAAGAAGTAGTAGTTAAAGTTGAATCTAATTCTGGTTTTTTTGTTATAATAGTATTCAAAAGAGTATCCATATCAGCAAATTCAGATAAAGTATTTACTATAGTATTTATTAGTATAGTAATATTACTAGTATTATTTAAGTTATTAGAATTCTACAACAAAATATTTTGAGAATAAATTTCTAAGTTGTTTTAAGCAGCAGAGTCTTGTTTCCAGATGGTAAGAAAGTATTGGAGGGCTTGGATAGTTATAGGTTGTAAGGTGGTATTGTATATTGTTAATTGTATATAAATTAAAAAATTTTTGAATAAAGAATCTATATATAATTTTTAAAGTTATATGATTGTCTGTTTTGCAAAATTTTGTTTTTGTCTCTTTTTATCTAATAAAATTTCTTTTAGAAATTAAGGGTTTTTGATAACAATAATTGATTCTCATATTTGTTTTTTATAATATTTTACCAATTTCTGTTGAGATTTCTTAGTATTAACTTGAGCTTTTTCTTATAATAAAATGATTCTTTTCATTAGTTTATAAACTTATTGCAATATACTATCCTGAAGGTTAATTTCTATATTGGGGTTTGGTATTGGTTTAGTAGAGATAATAGTTTTAATTAATAGAGTAACTTGTCTATTATAACTAATTAAAAGATATATAACTAATAATAGTATGTTTTTTTAGTTCAATATGTCAAAAAACAGCAGATATATATAAATCTTATTTATCAGTTCTTTTAACCTTAGTAAGTAATTCTCAAAGTATTCTGTTAAAATTTTTAACTATTCTATTAATCTATAAATGGTATAATAAAGTGAACTTATGTTTAATAAAAAACTTTTTATATAGTATTCAAATAGGGCTCCTAGGTTTGAGTCTGGTTTGGTCTGGGTTTGATCAAACTTCAAACTCAAATCAAACTCAAACTTAAAATTTTACTAATTTTCAAACTCAAACCAAATCAAACTTTTTTTTTCAAACTTAAACAAAACTCAAACTTGATTTTAAGTTTGATCTAGGTTTGGTTTGAAAGTTTGCAAACAGTTTAAAGTTTGAAATATATATGTTATAGGTCAAAGTGGTTTTTGAGTCAAGTTAAACTTGACCCGGTCAAGTTAGTCAAAATTGAATCCATGTAAATCCATTAATTTGACCCAGTCAAGTTAATTTAACCGAGTCAAATTAAACAATTTAACCAGAATAAGTTATTACATATATAACAATATAATAGTGATAAATTTATGCAATATAAAAAAAATACTATCTGTTACGCATATGTAAATATAAAGCTAATACTAAATACATTATAACACTATCTGTTATGCATATGTAAATCTAAAGCTAATACTAAATACATAAATAATTTTATGCTTATTTATTTTGGCAAACTACATTGTTGCCACCATGACATCTACTACTACATTTTAAATTATTTTTCCTACAAATACAATGATTAAAAAGACAATTTCCTTTACAATAACAAACTGCGTTGCTTACAAGTGCACCACTTTGTTTAATAGCAGCTGTGCATAAGGAAAGTTGAGCAGATGGTATTTCGGCTAATTCAGAATAGTCAGGTGACTCTAATAGACCTATATTACATGCATGATAACAAGTATCTAAAATGCCATTAGAACAACCAAGCTTATAATATCCATCTTGAAAAACTTCTATTACTTTACAGGGCAAAGATTTTCGATCAGTATTAGATCTATCAATTTTTGGAACTGGAACCTTGACATAATTGCCAACTTTATAAATGACTTTTCTTTTTAAATTCTTAGTCTCCATTATTCCATGAATTATTTCTCTGTTATGTTCTAAGTTTTTTCGTACCGTATTGCGAATCTTTTGAAAAGTAGGAACAGTTTTACAATTGTTTTCTTTATCGCCAATTTCCTAAATACATATGTGTAAAACAAATATAATTTTATAATTAAAATAATTTGTAATCAAATATATATTTACTTCAGTTGTATTTCCTATTTCATTTTCATGTGTTAAATTTTCGTCATCATTATTATTATTGGTTAAATCAATAGTTTCATATGAAATATTTGTATTGACCTATATAATATAATAATTAAATAAATTTTATAGTAATAAAATAATTAAATATGTGCGTGTAATAATTATAAATCTACCTGTTGTGATACAGTAATTTCAGATAATTCAGGTAATTCAGGATTAGAGTTAACAGATTCATCATCGTTATTCAACATATCATTGATTTCTATATTTAGTTCAATTTCTAAAATAATATTTTCTATAACAAATTAGCAATCACTTTAATACTTATCATTTTATAGATAGAAACTAACAGACTACTATAGCTGTGAATCGATCCCATCATTATACTTTCAGCTACCTCTTCTTAAACAACCATTATCTACAACATATCAGGAGTTAAATTCAAGTGTCAGAAGATTCTTTCTCTATAATTTAACACTAGCTTAAGCACTCTTATTTGAAGTAATCTTCTAACTTAGATAATATTATAGATTCAATCTTCTTCCTAGTGATTATTTTATCATTAAACTACTGCTTCCAACTAATCCTGAACAAATTAAAACACAAGATCAATATACCTACTCTATTACACAGGATGATATTGCAAGAATATGCTACCCTCTTTCTAACAATATTATGCAAGCCAACTCTACAACTAAACCACACCTACCTACTAGTGAAGAAGTCACTACTTGATATAATATTATTATACCAATTACCAATCTACAACAACTAACTAACACAGTTAAATTACTGCAACAACACTACTATTTTATCCATTTGCCTACAAAATAGATTAACATAACCACTCCCAGTACTACTATAGTCACTAGTCTGAACCTGATGACAGATAGAATCTCTAATAGTCTAAATACACAGATAACTAAAAAACTTTTACTACAACTACCTAACAACTTTCTAGAAATTAATATGATTTTAGCAAATCATAAGATTACTATCACATTGCCAATTAGTAAACAGACTCAAGTAATACCTACAATGATAACACTATGACAATACTTTAATATAAAAGCAATTTTAGTTTTCTACTCAATTTATTTCCACTACCAACTCTGCATGTGATATTTTTTCAATACAAACAACAGACTCTACCCACCAACCATCAGCAAATAACATGCTTATAGATACTAAGTAATCAAATTATGCAGATCAATAATAATAATAACAATAATATACAAAATATAACCAATTTACTACAAAATCCTTTAACTATTGTTATTCAAAACATTCAAGATTTCAACCAAATTATTAAAAGACAACTTTGGTTTGATTATTATTTGGCTTAGCAACTAGACATTATATCAATTAACAAGACAAAACTAGTATACTCCTAATATACCAACTTGCAGTTATATAATACACTACAAATGCTTTACTTCTAACAACAGCCAAACAACACCACAACACCCCCAGGAGTCTAGCATGGTTACAGCTATTCTTCTATTTCAAACTCTTACTTTAATTTTTACATTTACAACATCCAAATACTCAATGGTACAGCAATTGCAATTGACATATATTATCCATATAACAATAAATTCTATATTATCTCAGCTTATTTCCTAACATATGCCTTAGCTAACACCAAAACACAAGATTAGATCACCAAATAGATAACACAAGCTCTCCAAACTCAAACTATACCTATTGTTATAAAAGATTTTAATCAAGATTTAAATAAAATATACAAATCATTACTTTATAGCTATCTACTAACCCACAACTTTACACCATTAGTGCATACCTACTATCCATCTACACTTATATGGCAGCAAGCTAATGTATCTAGCCAAATAGATGAGATATAGATTCTACACCAGATTCTATACATTACAATACAACTCACCTTGTTACTAGCTACTGGTATTACTAATAGTGACCACTGTATAATCTATACCAATATATAATATAATTTTACACAACCTTCACAACTTAAAAATATATGTTTAAAGTATACAAATATGACACAATAACTACTGATAGTTAGAATGAGTTTCAGCAAACAATATAAAACCTTACCTCATCACTAATAGATGAAACTATACAGACACTTTCAATAAATCAACTTTGGCATCATATCAATAATACTATAACTAAAGCAGCCAAAATACACATACTCTTTACATTCAAATCTCACAAACAATTCAAAACATTTTTCATAGCAGCAACAAAATTTCATACAGCTCTAAATCTATGCAATAGCATCTTACAAAAACTAACTTATATACAAACTCAACCTGATAGAAACTTAAAGGACTTTCAACAAATTATTACTAATATCAACCACAAACTACAAACAATACAGCAACTTACAGACCACAATATAATAGTACTTACAACACAAAGTATTAGCAATCAGCAGATTGAGTCAACTATCAATTTTCTTAAATTACTTAAAAAAACTCTATATCATACAAGAAAAATAGAGAATAAACAGGCACTTAGCCAGTATATTAACATCCAAGTACAAAAGCACTATTATAACTTTACAACCTGCACTACACTATGATCAATAGTATAATTGACAAACATACAGACCCAGTAAATTTTTAAAACATTCTATTAACAGATTCCATAATTACAGAACCAGTACAAATCTGAAATCATATTAGAAATTACTTTGCAAATTGGACTAAATCTAATCTATATAATCTACAAATATAAGAAACCTGGAAATCTGAATATGAACTACAAAAACATATCATACCAGCATAGTAGGAAAACTTTAATCAATCTATAACAGCTAAAGAATTAACTAATACCATCTGCAATTCACCAAATAATAAGGTTGTAAAACCATCATTAATATCTAATAAGATGCTAAAATATATATATCCACATGTTATCAAAATTCTCATTACACTCTTTAACAAATGTTTCGGCATTTCAAAATTACTAAAGGCCTAAAAACTAGCAAAATCTATCCAATATCCAAAAAACTAATATTTTCTGACCAACTTAATTATACCAAACCTATTATCTTGCTCAAATATACTTGCAAAATATTTATAAAGATCATTACTCATTTTGCAAACCAAATTATGGGTCACTACCCAATACTTAACCCACAAAACTTTGTTGCACTTCTATTCACATCAATAACACAATCTATTTATATACTTACAAATATTTTGCAGAAAGTTCAAACTCAAAATAAAGAGATATAGCTTCTTTTTTAGAACATGAGTAAAGCATATAACTCTGTACATATACTACTGTTACAGCAAGCACTCAACTGCATTCATATGACTAAATCAATACAGCAACTCATTGTTAATATTTTTTTTGATCGCCAAAACTCAGTCATTACAAATCTTGGCTTGATACCACACTATAATCTACAAAATGGAATTGATTAAAAAGAAACAATTATACCTCTACTCTGGCATATATACTATGATCCTCTTATTACTTATATTTTAACTAAATTCACAGAATACACTATATCTATACAACTACCTCCAACAACTTAGTTAGTTATAATACTTTTGTGCTATCTATATGGATAATACTCTGTGGCTTGCTCTCAGTAAACAGCATCTACAAAATATTGTTGATGTAGAAAATTTATTTTACAATATATCACACATCATTGTAAACTCAGCAAAATCAGTTCTAGCTACAAATAATACTACTTTGCAAATTTACTATCTCTGCTATCTCCAAAAAAGAGTCATTTGCTATCTTGGCTGCTGGTTTGCTCTACTAACAGTCACAAAATTATTCACAAACAAATAATAGAGAGGCTACTAGCCTAATAAAAACAATTAAAAAAAAAGATAACTGACAAGCAAGCTATATATATTATTAATACAATACTTATCTTATGATTTTCCTATAGAACACTTAATACATTTATATACCAGAATATATGCTCAAAAGTTACTAACCAATACACACAAGTTGTTAAACATAAGGCAGGTCTTACAACTCACATTTCTAATGCAATGATATTTTATCATCAAATATATGGACTTCAACAACTTAATGCTATTCAAGTTCAAAATCATGTATCTGCACTGCATACTCAAATCAATAATTTACTCACCAAATTACCTATTAAAATATACTTGCAGCATCTGCAAATGCCTCTATGATACCAATCAGTATACTACAATTTTCACAATTTATTCTATCTACCAAATATAATAGTACACTTATAGTACAAACAATCTGTATAGTACACCAACTCAATATAGTAATTTTGAACTTGCCTAATCCTTGGTCTATATTTACCAAGCATTCTAGTACAACAATTAATCAACTAATCAAGTATTGCAAGAATCTTAGCTGTATTAAAACTTTTACAAACTATGCAAACATCAATGCAATTAAACAACTTACTAATCATACAAATACAGAACTACTTATCTGGTACCAACAAGCCTACAAAACTTAAAAAATTATATCAGGATAGTTACCAAAGTAGTTTTTAAAGCTTCATAATATACTATTAGAATCTACTACACTATATATTCCAACTGTGAGTCTTAATCTATTTATTACAAATAAAATTATACCAATGCAAGCAAGCTGAATACTTAAAAAATTTCAAAATACACCAATAATTAGGAAGGTTTTCAAAACCAAACTACTAAAAAATAATATACAGATCACATATTAGCTACCTCCAGCCTTGAATACTAACATATCACCACTTACTCATTGTACTTCTTGTACACTAACAACAGCTATAAATACATATAGACAATGCACTATTATTATTCCTATACAATACTGCATTACAATTTAAGCTACATACTCAAAATACTTATGTATTAACATCTCTGATTTAATCTCTAACCACCCTCTTTTCAATAATATAAACACAAAAATGAACTATTACAATACTAGACCTACTACTCTACAGAGATCTGCACGCATCACTATTACTTCCGATCAAGTATTCAAACAGAAACCTATCCAATCTCATCTAGATCACCTTGCACAAATTAATTCACAAGCTTCAAAACTTTGCTTTTATATATATGCTATACACACCAATACAAATTCTTTATGCCATTTTCCTGGATACTTACTCTAACTAATATATCCTTTGCAGCAAGTATTATCTTCTGACTATCCAAAACCAGAGCATATCTTGTTGGCATAATTTCTATACTAACTATAATACTACCAGATTGTCAAATCACAATTCTAATCTCACATTCTCCAATAATTAACATAATAA